TATCGGCTGCACTTTTCCTGACGCTGTGATAGTAAAGTACTGCTGATAACCAGCAAGTGTCACAGAGGACATCTTCACTGATAATCATGTAATCAGGTCACTGATAATCAGGTCACTGATTATCAGTGCAGCTCCAAACGTTCCCAGCCGTGCCACCCATCAGTGTATAGCAGTGCCACCTATGAGTAGAACCCATCAGTGCCACCCGTCAGTGCTGCCTATCAGTGCAGCCTCATCAACACACATTAGTGAAGGAGAAAATTTACATGTTTGCAACATTTTGGAGATTTTTTTGTTCTGTTTTTTGTTTACAGTGCAAAAAATAAAAATCTCAGTGGCGATTAAGTACCACGAAAAGAAAGCTCTATTTGTGTGAAAAGAATAATACAAATTTCATATGGGTACAGTGTTGCATGACTGCGCAATTCTCATTCAAAATGCAACGGCATTAAGGTGAAAATTGGCCTGAGCAGGAAGCAGGTAAAAGTGCCCAGTCTGCAAGTGGTTAAGCGTCAGCTCTGACAAGCCTATGCCATGGGGAACATGGAGCTTTCAGAAACTAGGACCTGGGATAATAATTCTTTTGCTGGGAAATAATTGATAATGAGATCAACATGTTCTTAATAAATAGAAATTTTGAGCTCTAATTCTTTTCTTTTTTTAAACCTGTGTTTAATCTGGGAGCAGCCAAGAGACATTGAAGCATGTGATTCTTATGAGAAGTATCTGCTGAGCCTGAAGCTTTTCTAGAACACACTTGTTCTAGATAGACATCTGAGCATCCATGCTGCTGTTGAACTGCTTATTTAGGAATACAAGCAGTATGTAAAAACTACCACATGCCATGTATCTTGTGCCAACTGGCAGGTTAAGTCGTGGAAGGCAGAATTTGAAAGAATGTTGTTTTTTTTTTCCCAAGCCACCACTGCTAGCTGATGTGGTAATTTCATACCACCTTTATTTCAGATGAATGAGACTTGCTCCTTCTCGGACCAGATGAAAAAATACACGAGCTCTATTAGTTTATTAATAGGTGTCTGCTTGTGTGCAGATGCTGTTTGCTTAAGATCTAGTGTGCTGAGCTGTAATATAAGATTCTCAAGGTCATAAGTAGTTGGCACCACTGTGTAGTAAGGTCATCTATTTGGGTTGCCAGCTTCAAGTTCAAATCTTTTAGTTCTTCTTTTTAACTAATGGTATTTATTTTCTGAAGGCCTCCATTACTAACAGAGATGTAAAGGCCTGCAGTATCCGCTACACTGAATGATACTTTCCATCAAACAATTTAAACCATTATTGTATAGATGTTTGTTAACCACTTGCCTACCGGGCACTTATACCCCTTCTTTACCAGGCCAATTTTCAGCTTTCAGCGCTGTCGTACTTTGACAATTGCGCGGTCATGCAAGATTGTACCCATAAGAAATTTTTATAATTTTTTTTTAATTTTTAACTTTATGTGCTATAAACAAAAAAGTGCAAAAAATTTGAAAAAAATTTTTTTTTCTTTTTTCTATTATACAATTTTTCAAACAGGTAATTTTTCTCCTTCACTGATGTGCGTTGATGAGGTGGCACTGATGGGCACTGATAGGCAGCACTAATGAGGTGGCACGGATAGGTGGTACTGATAGGCAGCACTGATAGGTGGCATTGATTGGCATCACTGCTGGGCATTGACTGGCGCAACTGGGCACTGACTGGCACAACCACTGGGCACGGACTGGTGGCACTGACTGGCAGCACTGCATTGATGGGCACAGGTGGGTGGCACTTCTGGGCACAGGTGGGTGGCACTTCTGGGCACAGGTGGGTGGAACTGGTGGGTGGAACTGCTGGGCACCGATCGTCAGGGCACTGATCATCAGTGCCCCGATGATCAGTGCCGATCCCTGCTCTGACAACTGCCGGTTCTCGGCATTACTTTTCTCGCGCTCTGATAGCATGAGGAAAGTGCAGCCAAGAACTGGCAATTGCATTTCCCGGTGATCAGCGTGTCATTGGACACGGCTGTTCACATGGTAAAAGGCCGCTGTGATTGGTCTTTTACCACATCACGTGATCAGCTGTGTCTGTAGGACACGGCGATCACAGAGCTTGCCGGGTGCGCGCCCCCAGGGGAGCGCAGGAGAGCACATTCTGGGAGGACGTCATATGACGCCCTCCCAGAACTGGCCGGCTGCAGTGTAACTGTCATTCGGGTATCTGCGGTTGGCAAGTAGTTAAAGCCTCGCTCTATGATGGTTTTCAACTGTTGCTGGCGGCACTAATCGATCGGGAAAAGCCCAACAACCTGAATGTACAGAACCAACCAACCTGCCTGTACATGGATCGAAATTTGTCCATTTGCTGTTGAACCAGCTGAATTTTGATCCATGTATGGCTGACTTTAGTGTTGTCAGCCCTCCCTGGATTTTCTGTTAACCACTTCCCATGTGCCGTACATTTATGAACATCTTCGGATTGGAAGGGTGATTTCTCAGTTATCTCTGAAGCTACAGCAATTTTTGAGGTATAATTTTGTTGGGCCAGCGATTTTCTTACAAAGTAAAAGTAATCCGAGCAGCTAACGAGCCACTGGATTACTTTTACAGGTGAAGGAAGCGGGTCCCTCTCGACGCCATTGCCTTTACTGGGCTCTCCTATGCTATCGGAGAGCCTGGCAAGGGTGCAACAGGCGGCATCTAGCTCAACGCACAGCGAGAGGAACTGATGATGTTCCTCCCGCTGTGTGACATCAGAAACTGGAAACGATGAGGATTTCTTCACTTCCTGTTTCAGTTCTTTGTTTATCTGGCTATTCCTGCCAGGAAAAGAGCCAATCAGACCAATCTGAGAGAGAGTGGACCTGTCACGGCCCATGCTATTACATAGGTTGTTGTTTATCCCTTGTAATAGCAATAAAGTTGATAAAAAAAAAGTTAGTTACAGTGTTAAAGAAATAAATAAAATGAAAACCATTTTAAAAGGGCCCCTTTTCCCCGTGCTAAAATGCGAACGTGCACGAAGTCCCGCACGCATATGTAATCGGCGGTCGCGCTACACGTGAGGTATCGCCACGAATGTCAAACACATGGTAGTCTTGGCCATTGATTCCTGACTTTTGGACCAACATTATCTGGGTCTATGAAATGATGAAGGACATGCATACATTCTCCCAGGCACTGTATAGACATCCAAAAAGGGTCTATATCACTTCTTTTTATTTGCTGCTAGGAATATGATTCCGAGACACTGGAAAACAACTCGGGCACCTACTGTCACCTTATGGTACACATGTATATTTACTTGCCCCCGACTTCTAGAAGAATTGACAGCTCAACATCATGATCGATATTCCACATATGTAACAACCAGGACTACTTGGTTTGTTTTTTCAGTGTCCAAGTTTTAACAAATGCCCTGAATGCAACCCTTTATATTTATACTTGGCTATTTTCCTCCCCATCCTGGCACACAATGCCCTTACCTCTCTGCACCCTCTTCAAAATTTGTTTTGCTGTTTATCAGTCTTTTTTTTGTTTTTTGTTATAATTAATATAATTTCCTGAATGAAAATCACATATAGATATAGTTGGTCATTTAAGTTGAAGAAAAATTTTCCATCTTTTCTCCTCAAATTTTCTTGTCCTTGTGCTCAAAAACGAACATTGATTTGACCCCACTAAGGTTCCTTTCACATGGGCGTTCACGTCAGTTTTTCATCAGTTCACATCAGTTTTTCAGAAAAATAGGGGTTCTTCCATTCAAAAAACAAATGGATGTTGACTGATGTGGACATTAACGGATGTAAACAGATTATCATCCGTTTACATGCGTTAGTCCATAGAAATACACGAGTGTCCTGTATGTCAGTTTATGAATGAAAACCGAACACCCGTGTGAAAAACAATTAGGAAATCCATAAATGTACAAACATTCTTAAACAAAAAATTTGAAGAAAAGTCTTCTTATATCCAGCTTTAGTCGTGATGATGTTTTCCTGACTACATAACTGCATTGTGACTCTTATGGTTTTGGATTAGACAAAGGAAACTGCATGATACCAGTAATCATTTTACTTGTCTATAAGTATGGCATTCTGACTACCGCTGTAAAGGAGGCATTTTCCTCACTGACCACCAATGAATTGGTTTTAGCAAGGGTTCCCTGAGACCTGAAAAATCGTTTTCAAGGGTTCACTCTATGTTGAAAAGGTTGAGAGGCTTTTATAAGATATTGTTTGAAAATTGTTAAAACAAGCAGTGTACTTACTTTATCACAGCTGGGAGGTACTTGGCAAAGATTGGCTGGTTTCAGGTCCAGTTGCCATTTTTTTTTCTTTTGTAGAGTGGATCAAAGCATCTGGTTGAAATGGTAGCAGTATGAACATTCCATAGCAGTATAAACATTGTAATCATGCTTCTGCTATACAATAAAACCTAAAGTGATCGTAATGGTTTAAATTTTTTATAATTATTATAAACATGTCATACTTCTATGCAGTGGTTTTTGCACACAGCTGCCCCAAACACCTTTGCTAGGGTCCCCTGTTGGTGCTCTTGGCTCCTCCTCTTTTCCAATTTGCCACCATAGGAAGCCACTTCCTATGGTGGCACATTTGCTGGCTACAGCTTGGCTCAGCCCTGCCCCTGCTCCCTGTTCATTGGCTTTGATTGACAGTAGCAGGAGCCAATGGCTCCCACTGCTGCCAAATCTCTGTGAGAAGAGAGAGAAGGTAGAAGAGCTCCTGCAGTTGGGTACAGCACTGGAGCAGAGCAGTAATTGAAAGTTTTTTGTTTTTTTTAAATACAGAAAATGCATTAAGGTAAAAAAAAAATTTTTTTCCTTTATGACCACTTTAATATAGGTCATTTAGCTTTTTTTTCTTTTTTTCTTTTTTTTTTTTTTTAAACATTTTAATATCGTTTTATTCCTACTACTAGCACTCCTTTTATTTCTTCAGTGGATTGATCTTAGTTGATTTTTTTTAAACTTCATTTTGGTTTGTTTCCCTTTGCAGAGATTAGGGCTCAGCTGGTGGAACAGCAGAAATGCTTGGAGCAACAGACAGAGATGAGAGTTCAGCTTCTCCAGGACCTACAGGACTTCTTCCGCAAGGAAAGCAGAAATTGAGACTGAGTATTCTCGTAATCTGGAAAAACTTGCCGAGAGATTTATGGCTAAGACCAGGAGCACAAAGGATTCATCAACAGTACAAGTAAGAGCTCTTGTATGTGTTTTTTTCTCTATTTCCTCCATCTGTATTTGAACATGCAGCTTCTGGTATCGAACTAGTCTTGATACCCTGTCTTCATAGCAGTAAAGACACCATGCTTTTGTATTTGCAGTGCTATACAGTCATGGCCGAAATTGTTGGCACCCTTGATATTTCTCCAGGAAATCATGTATTTCTCACGAAACGTATTGCATTAACACATGTTTTGCTATACACATGTTTATTCCCTTTGTGTGTATTGGGACAAAACAAAAAAAGGGAGGAAAGAAAGCAAATTCGACATAATGTCACACAACCTCCAAAAATGGGCTGGACAAAAGTATTGGCACCCTTTCACAACTGCGGATAAATAAGAATGTTACAAGCATGTGATGCTCCTGTAAACTCACCTGGGGCAAGTAACAGGTGTGGGCAATATAGAAATCAACCTGAAAGCAGATAAAAAGGAGAGACGTTCACTTAACCTTTGCATTGTGTGTCTGTCTGTGCCACACTAAGCATGGACAACAGAAGAGGAGACGAGAACTGTCTGAGGACCTGAGAACTAAAATTGTGGCAAAATATCAACAATCTCAAGGTTACAAGTCCATCTCCAGAGAAACTAGATTTGCCTTTGTCACAGTGCGCAACATTATCAAGAAGTTTGCAACCCATGGCATGTAGCTAATCTCCCTGGTCGTGGACGGATGAGGAAAATTGATGAAAGATTGCAACGCAGAATAGTCCGGATGGTGGATAAGCAGCCCCAAACATGTTCCAAAGACATTCAAGCTGTCCTGCAGGCTCAGGGAGCATCAGTGTCAGCGCGAACTATCCGTCGACATTTAAATGAAATGAAACGCTATGGCAGGAGACCCAGGAGGACCCCACTGCTGACACAGAGACATAAAAAAAGCAAGACTACAGTTTGCCAAAATGTACTTGAGTAAGCCAAAAGCCTTCTGGGAAAACGTCTTGTGGACAGATGAGACCAAGATAGAGCTTTTCGGTAAAGCACATCATTCTACTGTTTACCGAAAACGGAATGAGGCCTACAAAGAACAAAACACAGTACCTACGGTAAAATATGGTGGAGGTTCAATGATGTTTTGGGGTTGTTTTGCTGCCTCTGGCACTGGGTGCCTTGACTGTGTGCAAGGCATCATGAAATCTGAGGATTACCAAAGGATTTTGGGTCGCACTGTAGGGCCCAGTGTCAGAAAGCTGGGTTTGCGTCCAAGATCCTGGGTCTTCCAGCAGGACAATGACCCCAAACATACGTCAAAAAGCACTCAGAAATGGATGGCAAAGAAGCGCTGGAGAGTTCTGAAGTGGCCAGCAATGAGCCCAGATCTAAATCCCATTGAACACCTGTGGAGAGATCTTAAAATTGCTGTTGGGAAAAGGTGTCCTTCCAATAAGAGAGACCTGGAGCTGTTTGCAAAGGAAGAGTGGTCCAAAATTCCGGGTGAGAGGTGTCAGAAGCTTATTGATGGTTATAGGAAGCGACTGATTTCAGTTATGTTTTCCAAAGGGTGTGCAACCAAATATTAAGTTAAGGGTGCCAATACTTTTGTCCAGCCCATTTTTGGGGTTTTGTGTGACATTATGTCATATTTGCTTTTCTGCCTCTGTTTTATATTTGTTCCAATACATACAAAGGGAATAAACATGTGTATAGCAAAACATGTGTTAATGCAATACCTTTTTTGTGTGAAATACTTGATTTTCAGGAAAAATATCAAGGGTGCCAACAATTTCGGCCATGACTGTATGTGATTGGTGCTATGAACTGTAGCTAAAAATAAAAAAGGGCTATAGTCATAAATGTCACATTGTATTATGTGGCAGTACCCTTTAAACATTGGTGTATTTTATACAGTAGCTCATATGCATTGTGGGTAGTGTTTTCTTTGATTATGCTTCCTTGTAATATTATACTTCAGTAGTTGTATGCTGATTTTGTTACAAAGCATAAGACATTATAACTGCTCCAGTTTATTATATGAGGTATTCTATAGTGACAAAAGAGGGGGATGCTGTTCACTGGGTGTCATAATACTGGATAATTCTACTGTACTTTCATATAAATATATTCTAAAATCTCTGTATGCCTTTTGTTAATATAAAGACAAAAAAACTGCAGAAATACTTTTACTTTACAAGAAATTTTAAGTCGGCTAACTTTAGTTCTCAATTTGCTGATTTATTGAAACCCATTTCAGTCTATAAGTGCTGTGTTACTATAAAAGAGACTCCTGTTTTATAACACATACTGTTATTCAGCTGGACCAGAGAAGTATCTCTTCTGCCTTCATTTCTAAGTAGCAGTAGGATCTCCCTGATTATCAGATTCAATTTTTTATACTGGCCATAAATTAACATCGATATGCATAGCTCTTCTCGAAAGGGCATTGAGTGGACATATCAAGGCTGCTACTTACTGAGCAAATTGGTGTCTGGAGTGTAATATCTTATATTGCCTTAGTCTTTTTTTTTTTTTTTTAACTATGAATGTATATCAAAAAGCAAATCCCCCACACACTTTAAAAATTAATTCTGTTTAGTAGTGACAGTTTACAAAGAGATAATTATAGATAATTGCAGGCTTTTTATTCTTTGCATGCCCTATTATCTATCGCCTCCAATCTTGTCCTGGCGACCATTTCCACTAAGGGTAGATGGAACCGTCTCCCTGGAACGCTGCCTGGAACTCTGGATCTGCCTCCCTGGAACATGTGACTTCTCAGGTTTCAGATGTGAGGTCGGGGTTACATAATCAGTGCCTCAACTAAGTGGAAAAACAGTAAATGTAAGTCATAGCAGAATATGTTTAGCTAATGAATGTAGGATGATTTCATATCAGCATGCAGAGCTGCATGCAATTTTTCTTTTTTTAGTAAAAAAGGGAAGGTCCATTTTGCAATTCCCCCCAAATGCTCATTTAAAAGGCATCAAAAAAGCACAAGTGTGTAGAACCCGCAAACTGCCACCTGCCTTATCAATGAAGACTAAATAAGAAAACTTTTTCTGGGAAATTCCTTATGTGGATCTTTACTTGGGCTTGTAAGCCTACTTCTCTACGCTAGGATCTCTTCTTCTTTATTATTTTTTGTTTGGTTCTTCTGGCGTACAATACAATTGTGACAATGTGTAAATAATTATATATATATCTTGCAATACCCTATACCAGTGGTGGGCAACCTTTTTTTTCAACTGAGCCAAATCTCGCCAAAACCATGATTGAAATTTATTTTGAGAGCCACATTTTTAAAACTGAAAATACATCTCCCCATATAGTAATTCATCCCCCATAGTAATTCATCCCCCATATAGTAATTCATCCCCCGTAGTGTAATTCATCCCCCATAGTGTAATTCATCCCCATAGTAATTCATCCCCCATAGTAATTCATCCCCCCATATAGTAATTCATCCCCCCATAGTAATTCATCCCCCCATATAGTAATTCATCCCCCATAGCAATTCATCCCCCGTATAGTATTTCATCCCTCGTATAGTATTTCATCCCCCGTATAGTATTTTCATCCCCCATATAGTATTTCATCCCCCATATAGTATTTCATCCCTCTATAGTATTTCATCCCTCATATAGTATTTCATCCCCCATATAGTAATTCATCCCTCATATAGTATTTCATCCCTCATATAGTATTTCATCCCCCCATATAGTATTTCATCCCTCATATAGTATTTCATCCCCCCATATAGTATTTCATCCCTCATATAGTATTTCATCCCCCCATATAGTATTTCATCCCTCATATAGTAATTCATCCCTCATATAGTATTTCATCCCCCCCATATAGTATTTCATCCCTCATATAGTATTTCATCCCTCATATAGTATTTCATCCCCCCATATAGTATTTCATCCCTCATTAAAGTAATTCATCCCTCATATAGTAATTCATCCCCCATATAGTATTTCATCCTCATATAGTATTTCATCCCCCCATATAGTATTTCATCCCTCATATAGTAATTCATCCCTCATATAGTATTTCATCCCTCATATAGTATTTCATCCCTCATATAGTATTTCATCCCTCATATAGTATTTCATCCCCCACAGTACTATTTCCCCCCCCCCCCCCCCCCCCCCCCCCCCCCCCCCCCCCTTTCTAGTAAGCCAAGTCCCCCGTGTCAATTCACTTACCTTTTGCGTTCCTCTCGCGCTGTCTTCCCGCGCCGTTCGGGTCTTCAGGGCGGAACTGTGAGAGGAGCCTAGCTCCCCTACCCCCTCACGTTCGGCACGCTGCCCCGCCTACACACATCCTGACAGCCACATGCGCAGGCCGGATTAAAAGGTCCGCGCGGACTTTTGGGGCTGCCAACCGAGAGGAGGCAGGGGAGCGGGATTCCGACCGAGAGGAGGGAGGGGAGCAGGCGCCCGCCGGCACACAGAAGAGCCGCATTAGACTGGGTAAAGAGCCGCATGTGGCTCGCGAGCCGCGGCTTGCCGACCACTGCCCTATACCACTTATTGTGCTGCTTAAGGTACTCTGGTAAGTCCGGTGTCTCACAGCAATATAAGGGGTGCAGGCTGTCTTTTGCTTAATCCAGAAAAGCAGTGAAGTATGAGGAGATGAGAGATGTCGCACAGCACTAGCTCAACAGGTGAAAAGAAATGTGAATAGCCTCAGTCATGGCTAAGGCCGTTTACATTTCTGTTCCCCTGTTGAGCTAGTGCTGTGCGACATCTCTTATCCCCTTATATTTAGTGGCTTAGTATAGTATGCACGATCTGTATGGAGTTTTCATGCTCGCTCCTTTGCTTGCGTGTGTTTCCTCTGGGTACTTCAGCTTCCTTCCACAGTCAAAAAAAACTTGCTGGTAGGTTAATTGGCTCCACTGTAAATTGTCCCTAGTATATGTATGAATGTGAGCTTGGGACCTTAGACTGTGTGCGCTATGAGGGCAGGGACTGATGTGCATATAGAGTATGCTAATTGTTGACAATAATTATAAGCTGACTATTAT